AGGCCCTAACTGGCCCTCACGCTAAGGAATGGCGTGCAGCAAAGGATGCAGAACTGAAGGCGCTGGAGTCCCGTGACACCTGGGTTCTCGTCGATCGTGCAGCAGTGAAGGGGAGGGGAGCGCTAAGCGGAAAATGGGTATTTCATCTCAAGACTAATGCCGACGGAACCATTGAATGCTTCAAAGCGTGATGGGTCGTACGCGGGTACGACCAGCGTCACGGCATCGACTTCGATCAAACCTTGCTCCCGTCAGCCGTGACACCTCGGTCAGGATTCTACTCGCCATAGCCGCCGCTAAGCATCTGCCACTGCGACAGATCGACGTAAAGAACGCGTTCTTATACGCGTTGGTGGACGCAACCATCTTCGTGGAGCAGCCACACACTTATGGAGAATGAGACCCCAGGGTGTGCCAGCTAAAGAAATCCCTCTACGGGATCAAGCAGGCGCCTCGACTTTGGCAGCAACATCTGCACAAAAATTTGCTCGAGATTGGCTTCAGGCAGCTGCCGCACGACCCGGGAATGTACCGCCTTCATTTTAACGGCGACTACATCCTTCCTACTGTCTACGTCGACGACCTGCTGTACACTGGCACCTGCAGCAAACTCCTTAACCAGTTTGAGGAGAACCTGGCAAAGCGCGTGGACATCACCATCAACCATAACATCACTCAGTTTCTGGGCCTGAACATCACCTACGCGCCAGAAGCAATCCATCTGTCAGCCTCCAAGTACGCAGAGCAGCTGGGGGAACGCTTCAACATCTCACCCGCACCACTCTCAACTCCCTACCGCAGCCCCAGCACCAACTACAAACCGGACAACAAACCCCTGTCACCTGCAGGACTTCAACTGTACCAGCAGCAACTGGGTTGTCTGCTATTCGCCTCTGTCACATGTCAACCCGACCTCTCGTACATCGCCAGCCAACTGGCACAGTACTCCCGCAAGCCAGTAGCCGAGAACCAGCTGGACCTGGAGCGCGCCCTGCAGTACTTCATTTCCACACCTGACATCGGGCTCTCCTACTCCACGCTGGCAACAACCTCCTTCAACCTCAACGGCTACGTGGACGCAGATCACGCCGCTGACCCTGCGAATCGACGGTTTTGAACCGGCTTTGTATTCCGCCTGGAGCCTACTGGCCCAATCTCCTGGAACTCGCATATTTAGGAACTGGTTGCCCTGTCATCTGCTGAAGCAGAATACATTGCCGCGACAGCAGCAGTTCGCGAAGGCCTGTACCTGCAGGAGCTGCTACAGGAGGCGAAAATTCCAACTTCGCCCACCTTTCGCCTTCACTTCAACAACCAGAGCGCCATCAAGATCGCGAACAAGCCAGGGTTTGTAAACCGCACGAAGCACATCGCTCTGCGATACTTCTTCGTCAAGGACGAAATTGACCAGGGCAAGGTTGACCTCGCGTACTGCCCAACAACTAAGATGGCAGCCGACTTCCTCACCAAGCGCCTGCCACGTCAGCAGTTCAAGCACTGCTCCGACCTCACCGGAGTGGTCAAGCGAGTCAGCACCCTATGCGTCCAGGAATGAAGGGGAGTGTTACGATATGAAGCTTTATGAGAAGGCATTCCTGTATGCTGCAGGAGCCGACTCTACCGAGTACGAAGTCGAGGAGTCAGAAGAGTCGAAGCGACACAGCAACCGTCTGATCAAGACCGATGCAGGCAGAAACATTTGAAATAAAAAAGGCAGGAACATGTTCGAAACTGGTTCCCGCGCCGCACGGTTTGAATTTCGCTGCAATTTTGAGTTCAATACTTCCGCTGCGACACTACAGACGATCAATCCTGATCGATCCTTCGCAAAGTCCCACTTCAGATTGTAACAGGTTGGACCGTCGATATACATATGTGTATATATACACATATATTTATAAATTTCAACATTGTCCAGACGAGAACCGTGATAAACGGACAGATACGGTATAATAGTAACTCAGTGGCTGCGAAAGCATTTCGGCGAGTCACTATAATGCTACCGTATTCTCCCGGATATAAGACCCGGGGGACTTTCCTAAAATAGAGGCAAAATGACTAGGGTGAACATTTAATCGGAACGAGTTGTAAGAGTCTCGGGTACACTTAATAATCTTGTACACTTATGCGATTTAGGAGTGTGCACTTGAATTTGACACAAATGACACGTCAGAAGCGTCAGATTTCGCATCTGACATGATTGGTGTGTCAGAACCCGAATCTGACACAAATGACGCGTCAGGTTTCGGATTCTCTGCCTCTAAAAGCTGACGCGCATATTCAATTTTAACTACTGTATACAAAAAGGGGGGTCTTAAAATGTTTTATAGCAAAAGGGGGGTCCTCTCACATTTCATACATATTAAGAGTCCCAGACCCGAATTTAAGTCCCAGGGGTCCTTTTTTCGGGAGGGTCCTATATCCGGGAGAATACGGTACCTTTCATTGCAATGATGGTTAGTGTTTCGTTAGTACCTTAGTCATCGTAAGTATTGAAAATTGTTATGATTGACGTTGGACTCGGACTGTCTGATACCGTAGTTGGTATTCAAACGTTTTCGGACGAATGTCCGGATTTTAACCCCATTCATAAAATGTAACACGCCCTTATGAAGTAGGTGAAGTTGGGGTTGTGTGAGTAGGGAAAACGAATTTTCTGCTGTCATATACTGTACTGCCGAGTTTCTGTATCTCAGGTAGTGTTCGCCAGCACATCTAAAAAAATGAAGGGCACGGAATGGCCGCGGGATCAGGAACCAGAGGAGGAACCTTTCGAATAGGTGTTGGGGGGAGTCCAAATCGCGAAATTTCGCGTCAGAAAGGGGGAGGGTGGCAACGGGATCAGGAACCACCCTCCCCACCTTCCAATTCCCCGTCCCCATCCTCTACACACTTCCAAACCCAAGGCGACTCTGCTAGGGGAGGTGAATGGCGATAGAATGGCGACGGGATTTGCGTTTGCCTGTAGAGGAAGCTTCCAACCCACTTTCCTACCTCACGATTCCATTCGAACTGAATGAAAAAGAGGGCGTTCGACAGGCCAACATGATTCCGTTTGGTTCGGACGGAATCATAGGTTCGGCAAGAATTTCGCGGGCTGACCTGCCTGACGGACCCTACGAACTCTGACGGACGGGATCAGGAAGCCGAGGCTGACCTTCCTGATCCCGTCATTTTTGTTGTTAAAAGTGCTGGCGAACCGCCTCAGTGAAAGCAAGGGTTTGGTGAGGCAAGTTTGCTTGCTGAGCAGTTTCTAGCAAGTTTTTCCCACCTTTCTCCCCTCACTCCGAACCGAAACCCTCGGCTGTGCGGCCCACGCGACAGCGATGGGCAAGTCCAAAACGTCGGGGAAGGGGCGGCTCGACAAGTTCTACTACCTCGCCAAGGAGCAGGGCTACCGGTCGCGCGCGGCGTTCAAGCTGGTGCAGCTGAACCGCAAGTACCAGTTCCTCGAGAACTCGCGCTCGCTGCTCGACCTCTGCGCCGCGCCGGGCGGATGGCTGCAGGTGAGCCCCTCGCCGGGCGGATGGCTGCAGGTGAGCCCCTCGGCGAGGGTTGCGGCCAGCAGGTGCGGCGTTCGGCGTGGGCCGCCTCTCGGCTGCCGCTCGCCCGCCCACAACCTTGAACCTCAAACCCCGTTAAACCCCTTTGAAATGTAAACGCCTGCGAGGCTCGCCGTGCGCGCCACGGCACGGCCATGGGCCGCGCGTGATCGCACGACTCGTTCAACTCCTTGGTGTTGAGCCGTTGCGAGGTTCGGGGCTTTAGAAGACGCGCTGTGAAGCGCGTACATTGAGACGCTTTTGAGTCGACTCAAAAGCTGTGAAGCGCGTACATTGAGACGATGCGGCCGCGCGGCTCACTCCGCTGTGGCGGGCAGCGTCCACGGGTTGGACTTGTCCATTCCTGTGCTTGCGTCCACCTCGTGCACTCCCACCCTCCCTCCCCTCCCCATTCTCCTCTGCGTCCATCCGTCCCTCTTCTCCCGCCTGGCGTGCGGTGCGGTGCGCGCGCTGTCACAGGTGGCGGCGAAGTACATGCCGGTGGGCAGCGTGATCGTGGGCGTAGACCTCGTGCCCATCCGCGCCGTGCCGGGCTGCATCACGCTCACGCACGACATCACCACGCCCAAGTGCCGCGCCGACTTAAAGAAAGTCCTCAAGGTCAGCCAACGCCCCCTCCCCGCGCGCCCCCACCCCCACCACCCCCTCCTCCCCCCTCTCCTTCACGGGCTGGATGCTGGCTGTAGGCTTTCGAGGCACTCCAGAGCACCCCTCCTCCTCGCTTTCGTCCTTCCTCCCTCTTCCCCCCCCTATACGCCCCGGCACCCCACGATCTTCACCCCACCTCTTCGTTGTGCGCCTCCCGCCCTTCACTCTGCCACACTGTCCCGCCATCCATTCCCCTCCCCCTCTTACCTCCCCTCCTTTCAAACCCCTCTCCCCTCCCCCCCCGGGCAGGGCGGCCTGCTGGACGTGGTGGTGCACGACGGCTCGCCCAACGTGGGGGGCGCGTGGCTGAGCGAGGCGCTGGGGCAGGCCGCACTCTCACTGCAGGCGCTGCGACTCGCCACGGAGTTCCTCAAGCCGGGCGGCATGTTCATCTCCAAGGTACGTTCATCTCCAAGGTACGTTCATCTCCAAGGTACGTTCATCTCCAAGGTACGTTCATCTCCAAGGTACGTTCATCTCCAAGGTACGTTCATCTCCAAGGTACGTTCATCTCCAAGGTACGTTCATCTCCAAGGTGGGGTGGAGCGTACTCCTCTTGCCCACGTGATATGCCTTTGCACTTGGGGCCCCTTCATTTTGCTCTTCTTCTCCACCCCACTCCACGCTTCTCCACGCCTCTCCATACCTGCAATCGCACCAACGCCTCTCCATACCTGCAATCGCACCAACGCCTCTCCATACCTGCAATCGCACCAACGCTTCTCTCCGTGTCCCTCTCCTTTCCCCTCCGTGCGTCCCTGCGCCCACGCCACCCCATGACGCCACCAGGTGTTTCGCTCGCAGGACTACAACGCGCTGCTCTTCGCCCTCAAGCAGGTGCGCTGCTCTTCGCCCTCAAGCAGGTGCGCTGCTCTTCGCCCTCAAGCAGGTGCGCTGCTCTTCGCCCTCAAGCAGGTGCGCCTCGCCTGCTCCCACCCTCGCAACCCTCAACATCCTCCTCATCCGTCTCATCGCACACACTTGCACCTCGCCATGCGTACTGCACCTCGCCATGCGTACTGCTCCAAATTTGACCTTACTGCTCCAAGCCAAATCACATCCTTACGACCGTCCTCGAACTCACGTTGCCCCGTCGGACTTGACTGCCTTGTTCGGATATAGTGTCCCACACACCAGAATGTGGGTTTTGGATGTTGGCCTCTCTTCCTCCCCTGCGCGCGTGCAGCTGTTTGGGCGAGTGGAGGCGACGAAGCCAGTGGCGTCGAGAGCGACGTCGGCGGAGATCTACGTGGTGTGCCACGGCTTCAAGGCGCCCTCCCGCATCGACCCGCGCCTGCTGGACGCCAAACACCTCTTTGAGACCGTGCCCGAACCACCCAAGGTGAGGCGTGGCCCATGGGGAGTGGCGCAAGGGGAGTGGCGCAAGGGGAGTGGCGCAAGGGGAGTGGCGCAAGGGGAGTGGCGCAAGGGGAGTGGCGCAAGGGGAGTGGCACAAGAGGGTGAGCGAGAAGTGATGAAGTGGTGACAGTGCGACGGGAAGGAAAGCGGAGGCGATGGGTGGAGTGTGGGTGACATGCACGGCACGGCAGCAGTGCCATCACCTCTGCCTCTCCTCTTGCCTCCTCACGCCGTGTGCCTCCTCACGCCTTGTGCCTCCTCACGCCTTGTGCCTCCTCACGCCTTGTGCCTCCTCACGCCGTGTGCCTCCTCACGCCTTGTGCCTCCTCACGCCGTGTGCCTCCTCACGCCTTGTGCCTCCTCACGCCTTGTGCCTCCTCACGCCTTGTGCCTCCTCACGCCGTGTGCCTCCTCACGCCTTGTGCCTCCTCACGCCGTGTGCCTCCTCACGCCTTGTGCCTCCTCACGCCTTGTGCCTCCTCACGCCTTGTGCCTCCTCACGCCTTGTGCCTCCTCACACCGTGTGCCTCCTCACGCCGTGTGCCTCCTCACGCCTTGTGCCTCCTCACGCCTTGTGCCTCCTCACGCCTTGTGCCTCCTCACGCCTTGTGCCTCCTCACGCCTTGTGCCTCCTCACGCCTTGTGCCTCCTCACGCCGTGTGCCTCCTCACGCCTTGTGCCTCCTCACGCCTTGTGCCTCCTCACGCCTTGTGCCTCCTCACGCCGTGTGCCTCCTCACGCCGTGTGCCTCCTCACGCCTTGTGCCTCCTCACGCCTTGTGCCTCCTCACGCCGTGTGCCTCCTCACGCCTTGTGCCTCCTCACGCCTTGTGCCTCCTCACGCCTTGTGCCTCCTCACGCCTTGTGCCTCCTCACGCCTTGTGCCTCCTCACGCCTTGTGCCTCCTCACGCCGTGTGCCTCCTCACGCCGTGTGCCTCCTCACGCCTTGTGCCTCCTCACGCCGTGTGCCTCCTCACGCCGTGTGCCTCCTCACGCCTTGTGCCTCCTCACGCCTTGTGCCTCCTCACGCCTTGTGCCTCCTCACGCCTTGTGCCTCCTCACGCCGTGTGCCTCCTCACGCCGTGTGCCTCCTCACGCCTTGTGCCTCCTCACGCCTTGTGCCTCCTCACGCCGTGTGCCTCCTCACGCCTTGTGCCTCCTCACGCCGTGTGCCTCCTCACGCCTTGTGCCTCCTCACGCCTTGTGCCTCCTCACGCCGTGTGCCTCCTCACGCCTTGTGCCTCCTCACGCCTTGTTCCTCCTCACGCCTTGTGCCTCCTCACGCCTTGTGCCTCCTCACGCCGTGTGCCTCCTCACGCCTTGTGCCTCCTCACGCCTTGTGCCTCCTCACGCCTTGTGCCTCCTCACGCCGTGTGCCTCCTCACGCCGTGTGCCTCCTCACACCTTGTGCCTCCTCACGCCTTGTGCCTCCTCACGCCTTGTGCCTCCTCACGCCTTGTGCCTTTCCTCCTCACGCCTTGTGCCTCCTCACGCCTTGTGCCTCCTCACGCCTTGTGCCTCCTCACGCCTTGTGCCTCCTCACGCCTTGTGCCTCCTCACGCCGTGTGCCTCCTCACGCCGTGTGCCTCCTCACGCCTTGTGCCTCCTCACGCCTTGTGCCTCCTCACGCCTTGTGCCTCCTCACGCCGTGTGCCTCCTCACGCCGTGTGCCTCCTCACGCCTTGTGCCTCCTCACGCCTTGTGCCTCCTCACGCCTTGTGCCTCCTCACGCCGTGTGCCTCCTCACGCCTTGTGCCTCCTCACGCCTTGTGCCTCCTCACGCCTTGTGCCTCCTCACGCCTTGTGCCTCCTCACGCCGTGTGCCTCCTCACGCCGTGTGCCTCCTCACGCCTTGTGCCTCCTCACTCCTTGTGCCTCCTCACGCCTTGTGCCTCCTCACGCCTTGTGCCTTTCCTCCTCACGCCTTGTGCCTCCTCACGCCTTGTGCCTCCTCACGCCTTGTGCCTCCTCACGCCTTGTGCCTCCTCACGCCTTGTGCCTCCTCACGCCTTGTGCCTCCTCACGCCGTGTGCCTCCTCACGCCTTGTGCCTCCTCACGCCTTGTGCCTCCTCACGCCTTGTGCCTCCTCACGCCGTGTGCCTCCTCACGCCGTGTGCCTCCTCACGCCTTGTGCCTCCTCTCGCCTTGTGCCGTCTCTCCTCCCCACTGATGCCTCTGTTGTTGGCATGGCATGGTGGGTGTGGCATGGCATGGTGGGTGTGGCATGGCATGGTGGGTGTGGCATGGCATGGTGGGTGTGGCATGGCATGGTGGGTGTGGCATGGCATGGTGGGTGTGGCATGGCATGGTGGGTGTGGCATGGCATGGTGGGTGTGGCATGGCATGGTGGGTGTGGCTTGGCATGGTGGGTGTGGCATGGCATGGTGGGTGTGGCTTGGCATGGTGGGTGTGGCATGGCATGGTGGGTGTGGCTTGGCATGGTGGGTGTGGCATGGCATGGTGGGTGTGGCATGGCATGGTGGGTGTGGCATGGCATGGTGGGTGTGGCATGGCATGGTGGGTGTGGCATGGCATGGTGGGTGTGGCATGGCATGGTGGGTGTGGCTTGGCATGGTGGGTGTGGCTTGGCATGGTGGGTGTGGCATGGCATGGTGGGTGTGGCATGGCATGGTGGGTGTGGCATGGCATGGTGGGTGTGGCATGGCATGGTGGGTGTGGCATGGCATGGTGGGTGTGGCTTGGCATGGTGGGTGTGGCTTGGCATGGTGGGTGTGGCATGGCATGGTGGGTGTGGCATGGCATGGTGGGTGTGGCATGGCATGGTGGGTGTGGCATGGCATGGTGGGTGTGGCTTGGCATGGTGGGTGTGGCATGGCATGGTGGGTGTGGCATGGCATGGTGGGTGTGGCTTGGCATGGTGGGTGTGGCATGGCATGGTGGGTGTGGCTTGGCATGGTGGGTGTGGCATGGCATGGTGGGTGTGGCATGGCATGGTGGGTGTGGCATGGCATGGTGGGTGTGGCATGGCATGGTGGGTGTGGCATGGCATGGTGGGTGTGGCATGGCATGGTGGGTGTGGCTTGGCATGGTGGGTGTGGCTTGGCATGGTGGGTGTGGCATGGCATGGTGGGTGTGGCATGGCATGGTGGGTGTGGCATGGCATGGTGGGTGTGGCATGGCATGGTGGGTGTGGCATGGCATGGTGGGTGTGGCTTGGCATGGTGGGTGTGGCTTGGCATGGTGGGTGTGGCATGGCATGGTGGGTGTGGCATGGCATGGTGGGTGTGGCATGGCATGGTGGGTGTGGCATGGCATGGTGGGTGTGGCATGGCATGGTGGGTGTGGCTTGGCATGGTGGGTGTGGCATGGCATGGTGGGTGTGGCATGGCATGGTGGGTGTGGCTTGGCATGGTGGGTGTGGCATGGCATGGTGGGTGTGGCATGGCATGGTGGGTGTGGCTTGGCATGGTGGGTGTGGCATGGCATGGTGGGTGTGGCTTGGCATGGTGGGTGTGGCATGGCATGGTGGGTGTGGCATGGCATGGTGGGTGTGGCATGGCATGGTGGGTGTGGCATGGCATGGTGGGTGTGGCTTGGCATGGTGGGTGTGGCATGGCATGGTGGGTGTGGCTTGGCATGGTGGGTGTGGCATGGCATGGTGGGTGTGGCTTGGCATGGTGGGTGTGGCATGGCATGGTGGGTGTGGCATGGCATGGTGGGTGTGGCATGGCATGGTGGGTGTGGCATGGCATGGTGGGTGTGGCATGGCATGGTGGGTGTGGCATGGCATGGTGGGTGTGGCATGGCATGGTGGGTGTGGCATGGCATGGTGGGTGTGGCATGGCATGGTGGGTGTGGCATGGCATGGTGGGTGTGGCTTGGCATGGTGGGTGTGGCTTGGCATGGTGGGTGTGGCATGGCATGGTGGGTGTGGCATGGCATGGTGGGTGTGGCATGGCATGGTGGGTGTGGCATGGCATGGTGGGTGTGGCTTGGCATGGTGGGTGTGGCTTGGCATGGTGGGTGTGGCATGGCATGGTGGGTGTGGCATGGCATGGTGGGTGTGGCATGGCATGGTGGGTGTGGCATGGCATGGTGGGTGTGGCATGGCATGGTGGGTGTGGCTTGGCATGGTGGGTGTGGCTTGGCATGGTGGGTGTGGCATGGCATGGTGGGTGTGGCATGGCATGGTGGGTGTGGCATGGCATGGTGGGTGTGGCATGGCATGGTGGGTGTGGCATGGCATGGTGGGTGTGGCATGGCATGGTGGGTGTGGCTTGGCATGGTGGGTGTGGCATGGCATGGTGGGTGTGGCATGGCATGGTGGGTGTGGCTTGGCATGGTGGGTGTGGCTTGGCATGGTGGGTGTGGCATGGCATGGTGGGTGTGGCTTGGCATGGTGGGTGTGGCATGGCATGGTGGGTGTGGCGTGTTGTGGGTGGCAGGCAGTGGATGTGCTGGCGGAGCCAAAGTCGAAGAAAAGCAGAGAGGGGTGAGTGGTGGTGCCATGGGGGGATGAGTGGTGGTGCCATGGGGGGATGAGTGGTGGTGCCATGGGGGGTGAGTGGTGGTGTAAGTCAGGGAGGGGGAGGGTGAGAATGTGATGAGTGGAGTAATGAGGTGAACAGGGGGTTGAGTTTGGGGGGAATTGGTGAGAGGGGGAAGAGGAGACAAGTGTGACGAGATGAGGAAATGAGAGCGGGAGAGAGCAGCACTTGCCTTGCCACCACACCCATGCACTGTGCCACCACACCCATGCACTGTGCCACCACACCCATGCACTGTGCCACCACACCCATGCACTGTGCCACCACACCCATGCACTGTGCCACCACACCCATGCACTGTGCCACCACACCCATGCACTGTGCCACCACACCCATGCACTGTGCCACCACACCCATGCACTGTGCCACCACACCCATGCACTGTGCCACCACACCCATGCACTGTGCCACCACACCCATGCACTGTGCCACCACACCCATGCACTGTGCCACCACACCCATGCACTGTGCCACCACACCCATGCACTGTGCCACCACACCCATGCACTGTGCCACCACACCCATGCACTGTGCCACCACACCCATGCACTGTGCCACCACACCCATGCACTGTGCCACCACACCCATGCACTGTGCCACATCAGCTCACTGCACCCTTTCACCCCCTCCCGCCGCTCCCAATCCCCCCTCTCTCCTCCTCTCTCGTGTCCCACCAGGTACGAGGAGGGGCAGAGTGTGGTGCACAAGCGCGCGTCGCTGGCGGACTTCCTCACCACCGACAACGCCGTGGCCTTCCTGGGAACCTTCCACGAGATCACCTTTGACTTGCCGTTGGCCCAGCCCGTCATGGAGCACCCGCTCACCACACCCGAGGTGAGACACAGGCACGCCCATCTGCCACCTGCTGCTGCTCTCATTGCTCTCTGGTAAGCTGCTTTGCCTCACTGCCATGCCATGCGCCTTGCCTTGAATTGCCATGCCATGCGCCTTGCCTTGAATTGCCATGCCATGCCATGCCATGCCATGCCATGCCATGCCATGCCATGCCATGCCATGCCATGCCATGCCATGCCATGCCATGCCATGGGATGCCATGCCATGCCATGGGATGCCATGGGATGCCAGTCACCCCCCCTCCCCACCGGCCATGCGGTGCAGATCCACGAGCTGTGCAAGGACCTGCGCATTCTGGGCAAGCGAGACTTCAAGCAGCTGCTCAAGTGAGTGCAAGCAGCTGCTCAAGTGAGTGCAAGCAGCTGCTCAAGTGGGTGCAAGCAGCTGCTCAAGTGAGTGCAAGCAGCTGCTCAAGTGAGTGCAAGCAGCTGCTCAAGTGAGTGCAAGCAGCTGCTCAAGTGAGTGCAAGCAGCTGCTCAAGTGAGTGCAAGCAGCTGCTCAAGTGGGTGCAAGCAGCTGCTCAAGTGAGTGCAAGCAGCTGCTCAAGTGGGTGCAAGCAGCTGCTCAAGTGAGTGCAAGCAGCTGCTCAAGTGAGTTTACTCCAAGGTTAAAGAAAACAGCTGTCTTTTTTCCACTTATCCTATGATGTCTTATGAATTGCACTATACGATATCGTATTTTACCCTTAATTTCCAAAAAAACAGAGGGTTCTTTACCCTTGGTTCCCTCCTGCTCTATGTGGGAATGAGTGCAGCAGGTGAGGTAGCTCACTTCTTTCTTTCCCCACCAATCTTCCACTGCATGGATTCGCCACCCACCTTGTCTCCCCACGGCGCCTCATGCTTCATTGCCATTCAGATCAGCGCAACCCCGTTGCTCCCATCAGCTGCGTGCCTTGCACGACACTAACAGCTCTGCCCCCTTGCCTTTTGCTCTCGCCGCGCCATCCAACCATGTGCTGCCAGGTGGCGCCTCAAGATTCGCAAGGACCTTCCTAACCTGCTTCGAGGGGCCAAGAGGGCGGAGGGCGAGGAGAATGGCGGGGAGGGGGAAGGGGAGGAGGGGGAAGGGGAGGAGTGCAAGGGGCCGGCAGAGGAGGAGGCGGAGGAGGATGAGGAGGCGAGGCGGGAGCGGGAGGAGGCGGTGGTGTTGGAGGAGCTGCAGGAGCTGAGGGACCTGCTGGGCGCCAAGCGACGCCTCAAACTCAAAGCGGAGAAGCGCCGCCGCGAGAAGGTGGAGGGGGGGAAAAGAGAAGGTGGAGGGGGGGAAAAGAGAAGGTGGAGGGGGGGAAAAGAGAAGGTGGAGGGGGGGAAAAGAGAAGGTGGAGGGGGGGAAAAGAGAAGGTGGAGGGGGGGAAAAGAGAAGGTGGAGGGGGGGAAAAGAGAAGGTGGAGGGGGGGAAAAGAGAAGGTGGAGGGGGGGAAAAGAGAAGGTGGAGGGGGGGAAAAGAGAAGGTGGAGGGGGGGAAAAGAGAAGGTGGAGGGGGGGAAAAGAGAAGGTGGAGGGGGGGAAAAGAGAAGGTGGAGGGGGGGAAAAGAGAAGGTGGAGGGGGGGAAAAGAGAAGGTGGAGGGGGGGAAAAGAGAAGGTGGAGGGGGGGAAAAGAGAAGGTGGAGGGGGGGAAAAGAGAAGGTGGAGGGGGGGAAAAGAGAAGGTGGAGGGGGGGAAAAGAGAAGAGAAGGTGGAGGGGGGGAAAAGAGAAGGTGGAGGGGGGGAAAAGAGAAGGTGGAGGGGGGGAAAAGAGAAGGTGGAGGGGGGGAAAAGAGAAGGTGGAGGGGGGAAAGAGAAGGTGGAGGGGGGGAAAAGAGAAGGTGGAGGGGGGGAAAAGAGAAGGTGGAGGGGGGGAAAAGAGAAGGTGGAGGGGGGGAAAAGAGAAGGTGGAGGGGGGGAAAAGAGAAGGTGGAGGGGGGGAAAAGAGAAGGTGGAGGGGGGGAAAAGAGAAGGTGGAGGGGGGGAAAAGAGAAGGTGGAGGGGGGGGAAAAGAGAAGGTGGAGGGGGGGAAAAGAGAAGGTGGAGGGGGGGAAAAGAGAAGGTGGAGGGGGGGAAAAGAGAAGGTGGAGGGGGGGAAAAGAGAAGGTGGAGGGGGGGAAAAGAGAAGGTGGAGGGGGGGAAAAGAGAAGGTGGAGGGGGGGAAAAGAGAGGGGAGAGTTGTTAGAGAGGGATGGGAAAGGGGTTTTGTGGGAGGTGGGGTGGGGGGGGGGGGAAGGGGGGGGGGGGATGTGCTGGAGGAGCAGGTGTTGAGGGGAAGGGTGGTGCGATGGAAGGCAGTTGAATAGGAGTGTGTTTGCTGGAGCGTGAACCGGCCACCTGTCCATCAACTCCCATCCCCTCAACCTTCCCACTCCCACCCTCCCACGTTCCGAAACCCACACCCCTCGCTCGCCCCTCTTCCCGCACCACCGTGTATTGGCACAGAGCAAGGCGCGCACGGCGACGGGTATGAAGGTGGATGCGCTGGCCGACACGGACATCGCCGCAGACGACGAGCTCTTCGCCCTCGCAGCCATCAAGGTGCCTCGCAGCCATCTGCACACGCCTCGCTGTGTTTCATCACTCACGCATCTCTCTTGGTGCTCACGAAGTCTCCCCTTCATTGTCTTGCCCCCTTCTACCCCATCGACTGCTTCCAGTTCTCTTTTTCCCTAACTCATCTGTCCACTGGCGATCGCTGTTACTCAAACATCAGCTTTTCCCCTTGTATTTTCTCGAACCCCCCCTTTACCCTCTCCCTCCACTTGACCCCATCTCCCTCCCTCGGTCTCTCCCCATGGCCATTCGTCGCCCCTGTGGTGTGCTGTGGTGGCAGCGCAAGCAGCTGAGTGGCGTGGACCACACGGAGGCACCGCATGCCGAGGAGATGGCGGAGATGGAGAGAGAGGAGAGCGATGAGGAGGAGGAGGAGGAGGACGTGGAGGAGGGTAGTGAAGATGATGACAGCGACGCAGAGAAGAGAAGGTGAGTCATGGTGGCATGTGAGTCATGGTGGTATGTGAGGCATGGTGGTATGTGAGGCATGGTGGCATGTGAGGCATGGTGGCATGTGAGGCATGGTGGTATGTGAGTCATGGTGGTATGTGAGGCATGGTGGTATGTGAGGCATGGTGGCATGTGAGGCATGGTGGTATGTGAGGCATGGTGGCATGTGAGGCATGGTGGCATGTGAGGCATGGTGGTATGTGAGGCATGGTGGCATGTGAGGCATGGTGGCATGTGAGGCATGGTGGTATGTGAGGCATGGTGGCATGTGAGGCATGGTGGCATGTGAGGCATGGTGGTATGTGAGGCATGGTGGTATGTGAGGCATGGTAGTATGTGAGGCATGGTGGTATGTGAGGCATGGTGGTATGTGAGTCATGGTGGTATGTGAGTCATGGTGGCATGTGAGGCATGGTGGCATGTGAGGCATGGTGGCATGTGAGGCATGGTGGTATGTGAGGCATGGTGGTATGTGAGGCACGGTGGCATGTGAGGCATGGTGGCATGTGAGGCATGGTGGCATGTGAGGCATGGTGGCATGTGAGGCATGGTGGCATGTGAGGCATGGTGGCATGTGAGGCATGGTGGCATGTGAGGCACTGTCATCTGCAGGTGCTCCCAAGGCTTCTGCATGCCCCAAGTCCTCTTTCCACTCGTTCCCTTCCCTCCCCACCTCTGCGCTGGGCAGGTACGACGCTGAGTTGGAGGCGTACTTTGACACGGCGTACGAGCACTACTGCAAGGCCACCGCCAGCTCCAAGCGCCGCAAGGCACGTGCTCGCCTCATGGCGCTGGACGGCGAGGAGGAGGACGGCCACGAGGACGCAGGGGCGCAGGGGGGGGAGGGCGAGCAGGAGGAGGCGGTGGTGCACATAGGGGAGGAGGGCGAGGAGGAGGAGAACCCGCTGGTGGTGCGGCTGGGCGAGAGCAGTGCGAGCGAGCGCGTGCAGGCGCAGTGGTTCACCCAGGACCTCTTTGAGGGGCTCGACCTGGCAGAGGGGGCGGTGGAGGAGCCGCACGAGGGGGCGAAGGCGAGCAGTGCAGCTGGTGGGGCGAAGAAAAGTGGTGCAGTGCTGCTCAAGGCTGGGAGGAAGGGAGATGAAAGGCCTGCGGAAGGAGAGAAGGAGGAGAAGCAGCGAGGAGAGAAGAAAGTGAGGAAGGCTAGTGAAAGGGTGGCGGAGAGGGAGGAGGGGGAAGAGGGGGAAGTAGAGGCGGAGGAAGGGGAGGTGGCAGATGCTGATGACGGGAGAGTACAAGGCGTGGCAGGTGATGGGCGGGGCGGAGAGGCAGCAAGGAAGAACAAAGCTGGCAAGGCGAAGGCGAAGGATGCACACACTGAGCCGGCTGTGCCCCGTGGCACAGCAGCGGGACGGGAGGAAGACGGCGAGAAAGAGTTGAGCAAGAAGGCGCGGGGGGGGAAACAAAAGGAGGAGGAGGAGGCAGGGTTTGAGGTGGTCCCGGAGGAGAGGCTGAGTGGCAGCGAGCGGGACAGCTCCGATGACAGCTCTGACAGCGACAGTGACAGCCGTGGGGGGCGCAGGGGGGGCAGGCATGCACGCACAGTGGGTGGGAGTGCCGCAGGGGGGCAAGGAGGGGGGACGATGAGGGAGGAGGAGTGGGACAGCGACAGCAAGGCGGAGACGCTGGCGTATGCGAGGCGCATGCTGAGGAAGCGAGAGCGAGACGAGCTGGTGGACGACGCGTACAACCGGTACATGTTTGACGACGATGCCCAGGCGCTGCCCAAGTGGTTTGCGGACGACGAGCGGCGGCACATGGTGCCTCTGAAGCCCATCAGCAAGGACGAGGTGCTGGAGCTCAAGGCGCAGTTCCGCGCCATCAACGCGCGCCCCACCAAGAAGGTGAGCACCGGCTGCAAGACTGGCTTCCCCTCCACAAGCCTTCATTTGTGCTGGCAAGAAGTTAGACGTAACAAGCAGAGGCACCTTCGGTGGCAACGTTCTCCTGTGCCGTATCTCCATTTTACTCTCCTCTTTTCTCCTGTGCCGTATCTCCATTTTACTCTCCTCTTTTCTCCTGTGCCGTATCTCCATTTTACTCTCCTCTTTTCTCCTGTGCCGTATCTCCATTTTACTCTCCTCTTTTCTCCTGTGCCGTATCTCCATTTTACTCTCCTCTTTTCTCCTGTGGCCTCCCTTTTCCCCGCACTCCCCATACCTCCAGGTGGCAGAGGCGAAGGGCAGGAAGCGGCGGCGGCTGATGAAGCAGCTGGAGGCGGCGCGGCAGAAGGCGACGGCCATCTCGGAGCAGGCGGACCTGACGGAGCGAGCCAAGGGGCGGCTCATGCAGCGCGCCTACAGCAAGGTGGCCTCGGAGCGGCCGGCCAAGAAGATCGTGGTGGTGGCAAAGAAGGGGCAGCAGGGCAACCGCGGGCGCGGTGTGAAGAACAGCATCATGGTGGACCGACGCATGAAGAAGGACCTGCGTGCTGAGAAGGCTAATGCCAGAAAGGGCGGCAAGAAGGGTAAGGGCACAGCTGGCGAGGGAAGGGGGAAACCAAAGGGCAAGGCTGGTGGTGGCAGAAAAAGGTGATACTAATACAGACGCTAGAAAAAAATCTTTCTCGAGGTTCAACATTGTGAAACTGCTGTTGTCACTAGAATGCTGTCCTATTGCTAGTGTTGATGCTAGGAAAGTATAAGTTCATAATGAAATGGTTATTGCGTTTGCTCTGTAGTCATTCTCACAACCGAATTGTGTTCCTGCTTGACAGATTTCATACACATTCGCAAGCACGGGACCTAGACGGTAAGGGTGGCACAATTGGTTAGCGAAGTTTAACGAACATGAATCACACGTGGCGTTTCAGATGTGGCTTTCCAAAAGAGCTGGAATGCTCTTGCTCCGCCCTTCGATCTCGTCCAGTCAAGTGGCGTCGTCGCCTATTCATCCCGCTGATCGTTTTCATTCAAGGCTCGAACTTCCTAAAGAATTCGTAAGAATCGTGCCGTGCGTCATAGTTTCATCACTGTCATCTCATCATGGCTGCTTTGAGCTCAGTTGCACTTAGCAATGTCGTTCCTTCTGCGGGGATCTCCGTCGCGCGGATCTTCCCAGCTGTGAAGGGCGTCTCCAATTCCTCGTGTTCTTCTTTCGTTGGCGGAAATTTCAATCTGAAGGCTCTCACCAAACGGCAATTTCCAGCGTTAATTACTAGCCGACCTAACCAAGTCGTCGCCAAGGTTCGGCTCTCACACAAGTTGCCTGCATGGTGTATTCAGTCCCAGTCGCTGCTCCTAAGAGAGAAGTGTCATTGGATGCATTCAGGTTTCCGTTGGGGACGAGGCTCCGCCTCTGAGTCTGACCGACCAGAATGGTCGCGTATTCGACTTGGCCAAGCTTAAAGGAAGAAAGAGCGTGGTTCTTTATTTCTATCCCGCCGATGACACTCCTGGGTGCACCAAGCAGGTGCATGTCCACGCTTCGCAGCTCTTCTACCTCACTGTTATGTAGCCCTTCTCCATCGTCTTGTCTGACATTGAATCTCTTGTTGATGCTGCAGGCATGCTCGTTCCGTGACTCCTTTGAGGAATTCCGGAAATTAGGTGCTGAGGTTGTTGGAATCAGCGGCGACACTCCCGAGTCTCACAAGGTGCCTGCTGATAATATGGTGAATTGCCGCCATGCAGGATTGACATCCAGTGCCTACTACTAACGCTCTTCTCTCGCTCTTTCTCATGCAGTTGTTTGCCGAGAAGTACAGCCTACCCTTTACTCTTTTGTCTGACGAGGGCAACACTGTGCGCAAGGAGTGGGGCGTCCCCAGTGATTTGTTTGGGGTCCTTCCTGGGCGTCAAACCTATGTGATTGACAAGAAAGGCGTCGTGCAGGTAAGTGGCTGAAAATTATTAACTATATTCTTCACCATTACTGTATCTGTTTTGACATTTGCATACCCGTTTGCTTATTGCAGCTCATATTTAATAACCAGTTTCAACCCGAGAAGCACATAGATGAGACAATTGCAGTGCTGGAGGCCCAATACGAGGAGCCAAAACCGTTCTTCCAGTTTCCCAAGCTTTTATAGATGTGAACTTCCACAATAAAATCCAGAATCACCTGTGTTGGCGTCATTTATCGTTGGTAGTCATTATTGAAGCACAGTAGCATGGTTTCTGGAGTGAAACGGAAATGGTATGAGCTGAATCACTGCCGCTGGAAGAGGCAGGGAGAACATGTTGGAAACAGTAACTTAAGCGCTTCTGATGTGTCGAAACACTGAATCGAAAACGAAGCAAACAACAGCGCAGCAACGTCGAGTCAACCACCGGAAGTTGACAAGGAATGGTAACCGCTGGAGGTTACGCGAAGGTCAAAGATCACGCAACCTTTGACTCAACATCTTTAGTACGACAGCAAGGACAAACACCTCGTTACTGAGCAGTTGCCCGAGTCGTCACTGTATCGAATCGCAACAGCAACAGTAAAACAGTTATTAGTTAAGTTGTATCTCTTCGTATTCCTTGTAATCTTGGGTACATTCTGTCAAACTATATATGCATGTTGGCTTTGTCTTGGCTGTAATGGGGTAGCACTAAGGGGTACAAAAATTCTCTCGACATTCTCTCTTGTACCCCCCCCTTGACCTAATCCACTCACTCGTTCCTAGCCTAAGTTCTAAGTGTCAAAAGTTAGGGTTAGCTATATGTACCCCAACCAACATCAATGCATCATCCATTCTTCATTCTGACATGGTATCAGTTAGGTTAGGATCCTGTGGGATCCCGTTCCGCCGTTCTCCGTTCGTACCACCCGAGCCTGATCCTAGCTCTCGTTCGTCTCCTTCTCGTTGTTACCGAGCCTAGCGCCGAGCCACGCTCTCGTTCGTATCGTTCCAGCTGTTACCGAGCCTAGCAACGACCCACGCTCTCGTTCGTATCGTTCCAGCTGTTACCGCCCCCCCGTCGCGTCGCCTTCCCCCCCCTCGAGACGCGCCCGTCCCTTTCCCCCTGTCGCGTCGCGCTCCCCCCGTCGCGTCGCGTCCGCTCCTTCCCCCCGTCGCGTCGCCTTCCCCCTGTCCAGTCGCGCCCCCCCTTTTCCCCCCGTCGCGTCGCCCTCCCCCTGTCCCGTCGCGCCCGCCCCTTCCCCCCGTCGCGTCGCCCTCCCCCTGTCCCGTCGCACCCGCCCCTTTCCCCCCGTCGCGTCGCCCTCCCCCTGTCCCGCCGCTCCCGCCCTCTCCCCCCGTCGCGTCGCCCGTCCCGCAGCGCCCGCCACGGTCGCTCGCGACCGCGCTCGTCGCCGCCGCGCCTGCCGCCGTCGCCCGCCCCCTGCGCGCCTCGCCGCGGCCCCGCCGTCGTCGCCCGCCGCTGCGCGCGTCGCCGCTGCGCCCCCTGCCGTCGCCCGCTGCGCGCGCTGCTGGCCCCTGCTGCCGAGCGCGCTGCCATCGCCCGCCGCTGCGCCCGTTCCCGTTCCCCGCTGCTTAGTCCCCTGTTACCTCCCGCTGTCACGCCCGCTGTGGCGTCCGCTCCTCCCCTGTCCCAGAGTACCGCCGAACCCTAATTTGCCTCTCACCTACTGCTGTCCCCTCCCTCTCCGTTCGCGTTCGTTTTCACTATGGCGACTCAGCGTGTCCTTCGTTTCGACGCTGACGGTAGACCTCTTGATTTTTCCGTCTGGCTTCTTCGTGCTCGCCGTCTGTTAGAGAGTCAGGTCCAGGCAGGCGAGACCCTCTGGGCGCACGCTACTGGTGCCCTACCTGCGCCCCCCGACCCTACGCCTTTAGGACCTGCCCCTGACGACGCCGCTAGAGCCCGCTTTGCCACTCAGCGAGCTGACCAGACGGCTTGGACGTCACGTGACGCTGCGGCCTGCATCGCGCTCAGCAGCCTCCTCCCTGAGTCTGAGGAGGTTCACTTCACTCAGGTTCGCACCGCTGCTGAGTACCTCACTGCGATTAAGGCCCGCTACTCTACTCCCGCTGCTGTCTCTCTTGGCCGCCTGTTCCTCCCGTTCCTGTTTCCTGACCTAGCGTCTTTTGAGCGCTCTGCTGACTTGATCGCTCACCTCCGCTCGCTCGACGCTAGTTACCGCGCTGCTTGCACTGAGGCACAGCTTGCACTGCTTCCTCCCCCTATGGCGATTACTATCTATTTCATCGCCACTAGCCTCCCTGACCGCCTTGCCTCCGTTCGCGACGCGCTTCTGCTGAAGCACCCTAGTGAGCTCACCGTCGAGGTCCTTGAGTCTGCACTCAAGGACGTCGAGAGCAACCTTCGCTCGGTAGCCGCTGCCTCTGGTGCTGTGCCCCCCCCACTCTTCCACGGGTGCACAGTCCCGCAGTTACCCACCTTTACTGCCTCACTTGCCACTGCCGCTACTGACGCGACTGCAGCTGCTGTTACGACTGCGTCGCGGTCCCGCGGTAGGAGTGGCAAGAAAGGCGGTTCTGGTGGTGGTAGTGGAGGTGGAGGCGGAGGTAGTGGAGGTGGCGTTGCGCCTGGCGGCGGTGGAGGTTCAGGGCCTGGAGAGGCGCCTCGTGCAGTGACTGGTGACTCCACTGCGCCTGCTGGTGGTGGCGACGCCCGAGTTCGTCAGTCGCCTCCTGTACTTCCTGCCCCGGTTGGTGGAGCAGCGGCGTGGTACCAGGCTCAGCGTCAGCAGCAGCTTCTGCAGCACCAGCAGCCCCTCTCCTCCCAGCAGCCTCAGCAGCAGCAGCGGCAGCAGCTGGCTCCAGGGTCGGGGCTGCGTCAGACCCAGCGCGGTGCTGCTTACACTCCCTGCACCTACCAGGTTCTGACAGGCACTCGTCGTGGCCACCCTTGTGGCCGGTTTCACCCCCCTGGTCAGTGCTTTGCTCAGCTCACTGACACGGTTCGTTTGGTCTACGGGGTTGGTGCTCCTGCCCCTGACTGGCTGCCTCTTGTTCAGCGTTACGGCTCCGCTCTGTGGGGCATGTCTGCTGAGCAGTTAGTTGATCTGATTGGTAATCCCCATGCTATGTATGCTGTTGTTGACTCTAGTGTTTCTGACTCTGTTTACTCTGGTGTTGTTAGCTTAGGTGCTAGCCTTGCTCAGTTGCCTGTTGCTAGTGTAGGTTCTTGTGTAGACTCTAGTCCAGCGGCTACCTCAGAGGACGGTTCGCTGTCGTTCACGCTGGACTCTGGAGCCTCTCACTGCTTCTTTCGTGACAGCACGACACTTACGCCTCTTCCTGCGCCTGTTTCTGTGGCGCTGGCTGATCCCACTTCGGGACCAGTCACCGCGCGTCACACTACCACCTTGCCGTGTCCGGCTGCTCCTTCTGGGTCTCTCACTGGGTTTCACGTCCCCTCGTTCTCCCGGAACTTGGTGGGCGTGCGACCCCTCGTGAGTCAGCACGTGGGTGTGTGGTTTGAGCCTTCTGGAGAGACTGCGGTGTGTGTTGACGGGGACTCTTACCAGCCCCTCGCCACTTTTGCTGCTGAGCCGGGCTCCGGTCTCTACACTCTTCACACTGGCCCGCGCGCTCAGCAGCGACTGCAGCAGCAGCAGCAGCCGCAGCAGCAGCAGCAGCAGCAGCAGCAGCCGCAGCCGCAGCCACAGCCGCCCCTCCTGCCCCCGGCCCCTGTTTTGCCCCCCGTTCGAGTCCTCGCGTCTCACCAGGTTGCTCCGTCCCCCCAGGTAGCTGTGTCTTGTCAGGTTCCTCCGTCTAGTCCGGTCGCTGCGTCGTGCTCCTGTCGGTCGCTTGCCCACCCCACCGTTTTGTGGCACCACCGGCTGGGGCACCCTTCTCCTCCTCGTCTTCGCGCTATGTCTCGTCAGCGTCTTGTCTTAGGTCTCCCGCGTGTCTTGCCGTCGCTGCCGCCGTCCCTTGCACCACCGTGCGGTCCTTGCGTCGAGGGTAGGCTGCGCGCCACCCCTCACTCCTCCTCCCTTCGTCCGGCCACCGAGCCTTTTGAGACGCTGCACTTGGACGTCTGGGGCCCCTCTCCTCGCCCTGGCCCTGAGCGTGAGCGTTTCTTTTTGGTGGTCGTTGACGACTACTCCCGCTACACCACAGTGTTCCCCCTGGCGAGGAAGTCTGAGGTGACTTCTACGCTGATCAGGTGGTTGCTTACCACCCAGGACACTCGTGGTCGTCGTGTCAGCTGTCTCCACTCCGACCGCGGGGGCGAGTTTCGCTCCGGCATTCTCGCTGGATTCTGTCGCGAACAGGGCATTCGTCAGTCCTGGACGCTTCCGGAGTCCCCACAGCAGAATGGGGTTGCTGAGCGTCGCATAGGCCTGGTCATGGAGATTGCCCGCACCTCCTTGACTCACGCCCGTGCCCCCCATTTCCTGTGGCCATACGCGGTCAGGTACGCCGCGCACCAGCTGAACCTCTGGCCACGCGTCTCTCGGCCGGAGGCTTCACCGACCAGTCTTTGGACAGGGTCCCCTGGTGTCGCGTCGAGGTTTCGTGTCTGGGGGTGCTTGGCTCTTGTCCGCGACACCTCCGCGGACAAGCTCTCGCCTCGCGCCGTTCCTTGTGTCTTCCTTGGTTTCCCTGAGGACTCCTCTGACTTCACCTTTTACCACCCTCCCTCTCACCGGTTCTTTGACTCCCGTGACGTCCGTTTCGAGGAGTCCACCCCCTACTACGTCAGGTACCCCAGTCGAGGTCTCCCGGTCCCTCCCCCCCCTCTCTTCCTGACCGCCGCTCCCCCGCCTGCTCCCCCGGTACAGCCTCCCCCCCCTGGTCCAGCCCCGTCTGGTGTGTCTCAGGCTAGCCCTCCCCCTTCGGTAGCCCCCCCTGTACAGCCTCCCTCCCCACAGTCTTCCTCGCCGCCTCCTGCAGGTGCTCCCTCTCGGGAGGTTGGTCCTGCGACTGTCCCTGTACAGGTCTCTGGTTCTGGGGGTGCTGGAGTTGGAGTTAAGCCGCGGGTTGCAGAGGACTCTTGTCTTCCGGGGGCTGGTACTGGTCGTGCGGAGTCTGGGGGTGCTGGTGCGGAGTCTGGGGGTGCTGCGTCTGGGGGTGAGGGTGTCCCTTCGGTTTCTGGAGAGCCTGGGTCTGGAGCTGGTGTTGGTGCTGCCTCTGGGGGTGGTGTGCTTGGTGCTTCGGAGGTCGAC